AAAAAAAAAAAAAAAAAAAAAAAAAAAAAAAAAAGTAGAAAATATAATGTGTGTGTGCTCTTGTTGCATGTTTGCCATTTTTGCAAAGAAGGGAGCAAAGGTCGTGGAAAATCATTTGAACATCACTTACTTATTTCACAGCCTTTACAAATTTATGCAGTTAATACCAGGGGTCTGGATCACTGCTGTTGAATCTTAACTTCTAAGACTGTGGCAGCACGTACTGAAACATGCATTCAGCATTAAATTTTTTGAGATTCAAGATGAAATTGCAGGAGTATACAATATTATCAGTTTCTCCRTGATCATTTATAACAGTGAGTTTAAGTCCGAGTGCACATTATTTTATTGTTGAATATCAGATTTGTAGGATACACTAAATAACCTGTGTTGATCTGTGACATTCACTATTGGTGCAATTCTGCACGTTGTGTGGGGTGTAATTGCTGAGTTGAGGCTTGAGTCCCCACACCAGAGGATTGCTCTGCACTGTATCTGTTACAAAACTGGCTCTTTGAATTTCRAAGGGCTTGTGTCATAACTGCAACAAATAGTTTTTTTCTTAAATCAGTGTGACACCATGCACTTCAAGAGTCATTATACTATTCCAAGTACTGGAGAAACATCTTACTGTAAATGGATAATCTTTTGTGTCTCTGCATCTYTGCTCATTTCCTGTATGGTGTGCTGGGCCCAGTCAAATTCTCTGTGCATCTTTTCCTTCACTGTGCATGATACRTAGATGTACTGCCAAGAAATGTTTGCTATTCTCCAAGAAATGTTTATAGTTTAAAACAGTCACACTGGTAAGTAGAATAGATGCTGCGTACAGTTCATCAACAAAAATAGGAAAAGAAGTAAAGTTTTAGAAAAAAACATGTCCATGGAATGCTTTTATTAAGCATTAGGCTGAGAGATCCATTTATATAATTATTGCTTAAAACCTGTGACAAAAATAGGATTTTGGAGGTACCTTAGACTGAGCTAATATGCTTTTTTTGACTCACTAATGGAAGTAGTAGACATGTGCTGCTGAAGTGAATAATATATTTTTACTTTCYTCTTGGGGACATGATGAACCCCATTTCTAATTAGAATTATAATTTTTGAGCATTATTATAACATTTTAATTTTAGAAATAATGGTCCTGATTGTAAACCCCAAACTGTGGAGAACCTTTGACTTCATAATTCATTAAAAAATCAGTGCATGAGGAGGCTGGTGCATGAGAATTCTCTGAGTGCCTTTTGTTTCTGAGCCGCTGTTCTTACATGTGCTTTGTTACTTTTGGGGGCAGAAGGTCAGAGTTTTTGCTGCAGTGTTTAGAGATATGTCTTTATCAAGTTGTTCTGTGTTAGCCAAGAACTGAAATCTGAACAGTAACAGTATGTGACTGCCATGTTTAAAAGGATACTTTTATAGATACGAACAATCTGATCATGAGAGCTTTCATCTTCCTGTGTGTGTTCACTGCTGCTCCTGTTCCTCTGTTGCCAGTGCGGTTGGTACGTTTGCTCGAGCCTTGGACTGCAGTAGTTCTGTCAGGCAACCCAGTTTACACATGAGTGCAGCTGCTGCTTCCCGAGACATCACACTGGTAGGTGGCTTYTTAAACACCCTACAGCTTCTGCATCCATGAATTCAACACTGTTACTCCAAATCCCTGTTCTCTGCTTGTTGTCCTTTAGATACCTGCATGCAAGGTGTRTGTGTATAGAAAATCCTGTGTGTTTTCTCTAAGCTTCTCAGTACTGCCCTGGTAATTATCCTGTAAATCACTTGGCTTTAGTTGTGGATCATCYGCAGCTATGGATACCCACAGCAGAATGAATAATACACATTGTGTAGGGATTCATTCTGTGCAGTTCAACAACAGTGTCATATAAAGTGTGTGGTAAAAAAGCTGTTTGAAAATCATACGGGTAATGCTTTGTACTTACTGGTTGTATATGTCATCAAATTTTCTAAAGGATAAGCAATCTGATTTTGTAAGCATATTTTTAAGAACATTGTAATWAGCATATTCTTACTATGTTTCCTTAGTGTGCTGTTCACTGTTGATGTAAGCATCTGCATCTGTTAGAGAAAGTGAAAAATGTATTGATTACAGGTTTRTTTCTGTGTAATCATACTAGCTGAGATGAGAAGGTGTGCTACAGCAAATAAAGTATACCAGGAACACTTTGTGAAAACAAAAAATATTACTGTTTCATAGAATCAAGTTTCACTTGGATTTCCAAAGACATAAACTGTTGTTTCATTATTAAGGTATTTTTGTACCTCAACACTATCACATAGTTCAGGCTAAAGAAGACCTGCTATTAACCAGATACTGGAGTATTAGAACTAGAGGRAACTCAGTAAAACTAACAGATCAGTTTGAAATAGTTAAGGCACTGCCTTATAAAGCGAATAGAGAGACCCTGGAATTCAGKTGCACAAAATTTTGTGGGAATGGGAAATACCAGCAGGTTAAAAAAGCRATGGAAAAATGATGGACTAAAGGCCCATTAGTACTGAGGACAATAGGAAAAGGTGTACCTTCTAAACATCCTGATCCTCAAGCTTTGTAGATGCTGATCAATGAAATGGGAATTGACCTCAGACTGTGGTGAGATTTACCTGAATATTTTATCTAACATTYCTTGGTGCTACTGTAAGAGACAGAATGCTTAGTTAGATTCTGATTCAGTGGGACAATTCTTGTATGCTGGATAAAATAAATTCATTATTATGATGAGAAAAACATTTGATTTWTTACCTTTGTTGAGTGTACTTTATTGAGTGTACTCAAAGGCTATTGAACAGGAAACTGATCCAGTCTGGACTGTGGTAGTAAAGGCAGGGGAAAAAATGTGATGTTTTCAGTAATACTCCARATTAATTTTCTGTTTTGCCTTTGCTGACATGACTTTTTACAAACACAATTCTGTTCACATTTAATAATGTTGTTCATCAAAATAGTTCTTCAACATTTTTCATTTTATTAAYATTTTGTTGGATTAAGGATTTCTAATAAGTTTCACATATTGCATATCCCTTCTTTATTTGCATACTGTATTCAATGATTAATAGAATAGATTTATCCTTATGGCAATTTCTCGTTTGAAAGTACATGTTCAGTGCTGCTAATAAAGGGACACTTTCAGTGTTTGAGTGCCATGTTAATGTTTCTCCATTTCAAATGATCCATTAAGTTCCATTACACTTAATGAAAGGCATATCTTATAATGAGGCATCAGAAGAGTCACCCTAGGCTTAATTATTGTGTCTGTCTCTTCTTATTTTCYTACCCCCTCAGCTTTTTAAAACCCTACTTTTTTTGCTTTTTGGCAACATACTTCCTCCTAAGTTAAGAAAAGACATATTTGTCATTATAATAGTTACTTTTTCAGACATTTTCATGTTAATTGGGAGAATATTTTCAACAGCAGTTAAAGTTAGTAGAGACGTTTGCAGAACTTGCGGTGTATCTCATTTATACTTTGGATATAAGTGCATAACACGAAGAAAATTATACTGTCTGTCTTCCTAATGCAAGGCAGATAACCCTTGCACCCTTGCACGTGCTATTAATGGGATTTTTCTGCACTGTACCTGTGTCTTTCCAGTATTCCTAATTACTTGTTTTAATCAGTGATAACTGTAAACAGACTGTTACTTAAAAAAAACAAAGCACCTAGATTATAAACATGAATAAATTCAGTGTTGATGTATACACTTCTTGCAGAAGAGTRAAAGGTGGGAGGCTATTTTCAGGCTGCTTTATTTTGAAAACATAGGGAAGGTAATGAGACAAGGTAGGAAACACACTGCTTTTAGAAAATCCTGCTGAAGACATGAAACAATGTGTGTTTACCTTCTTAGATGAYAATAAATGTCCTTCTACAGTGATCAAGACTTGTGAGACAAAAGACCAAGTAAAACTTGCATTTCTGGTCTTCTCAAAGGCAATAATTGATTTTATAATGAAAATTGATCTTTAGGAAGAGAAAGAGACTGGGAAGACCTTCTGTTTCAGATTCCTAAATATTTAATTGTGCACATACTGACCATGACAGCCCTGTAGAGCAAAGCAGATTGATGGAATCACTTGCTTACTGTGGTTGGTTTGTTCAGAAGAGCTTCTGTGACTTTATTGTAGCTGATTTTGGATGTATGTTTAAAATGACAAGTGTGAACAGTGTTTTCCTTTCCATTTTGAACTGTGTCTTTTTAATGATTTTTATTAGATGTCCACATATATATGTGGGTGCTAAGATAAAAACGCTTAAAGTATTATTGAATTGGAGAATCCACACTCAGTTTCCAGTTTGAGTGCTTTGTTGGAAATGGTCCAGTCTGAAGATGCAGCCGGTTTGGGAGCTGTGTGTTGTGGCTTTTTGCAACATGCCCTGTCATGCCCTTTCTTCAGCTCCATGCAGCCTTTCCTCAGCTTTTGGTGGAAAGTTTCTTTCTTTATCTGCTTATATTTGGAGTTGAAGTTCCCTCTGTCTGCCTGGCTGACTCTTGTCCTTTGATGAGCCCCCTTTGAGGTGCTCTGGGCAAGAGTTCTTAGGGAAGGGTGCTTCTTACTCTGCCCTTCAGGCTCCTGTTTGGGAGAGCCAATGCCAGGTCTCCCAGCCTGCTGCTTCTTAGGATAAAGCAAATAAAAGAAAGATAATCCAGGACTTTTTCTCTCAGCCTCTAGTAATGCCTTCAGGCTTCTCTTGCTTTTGCCACCACAATTGGCACTGCAGTGTGGAAATTTAATGCAGGTGAGGGCTGACAAACCTGTAGAAGGCAGAGTTGTTATCAAAGAACTTGTCAGTGGCTTTGTCAGTGCAGTGAAGACAGCACTCATCCACAGAGTTCRGTATGAATCTTTTCTTCAGTAATATCAAAGAAGGTTTTATGGAGTCAGATGTTTATTATAGATGAAAAATAAACATAAACCAAGAGCAAGATTCTGACTTATACACTTCTGTTGTCATTTTTAAGAAAGTTGGTATCAGTGAATAGATCTGGATTCACCAGCTGCTTGGAAGATGCCCTGTGTATACTGCTTTYCCATGAGTGATGCAATTTAAAGAAAAATTTAAACCTTTTAACATATCTACAAGAGTTCAATCTTTAGACCTGGTTTACTCGCTTCCTGAATGATAAGCAATAAAGCAGTGATTTCAATGTACRTTCTCTAATATGAATCTGATGGATTTTGGACATGATGTTACACATTTCCAAATTAGAATACTTGATTCTAACAATGGCTTTTCTCTGGGCTGGTGAATTTGATTGAGCCATAAGTAAAATGACATATTTTAGGATAATAGTGACCTTGCTTCTTGCAGACAAAACAGTTCCAGGATCTTGTGCTTGATAGCACTCAAAGACTTGTAGTGAGCACTGGAGAAAGACAGTAGTCATTCATGGAAGATGGCAAAAGATAAGGCAAAAGAATCCATTATTTGCAGTACATTTGTATGCAGAAGCTCAGCTGGAATTGCTATACTGGCAAATAATGCAGGAGTGTTCCTTCCTTGAAAGGTTTTCCCACAGCTTTTCCCATGGATTTGTGGCYGTGTGAGAAGTTTGCACATTGCACTTGGAGCTCAGCACTGTGGTGGGACACCTTGGAAGGAGGCTGACACAGTGTCACAAACATTATTGCACTTTTAACTGTGGTAGCTCCTTCAGCACAGCAAGATGGGCATTTTGGGACGCTGAGTCAGAAATGCTTCTTGTGCGTCGCTCATTTTCCCGACAGGCGGATTTGTTTACTTTTCATATTCCCCATCATTGGTTAGCAATGGGAGTGTTCAGTGTTACCTGCAGTGGGAAGATTGTTTTAATTGTTTTTTTTTCTGGTTTTCCCTTTTATAATGGAAAGGGAATCAACCAAAGAAACCTTATTTATTGGTTTGTGACAACAGTGTTTAGCAAGGGACGAAAATTTTGCTGCTTTTTCAGTATGATGGTAAAGAAAACAATACATGTCTGCCAGCMGTGAGAATACTGAGCTCAGAGATGTCTGAGCAGCTGTTTAGTTACTATTTAGAGCTTCTGTTAATTGAAAATGGCCCCGCAGTCAATATATGCCTCTGTCTTTATTGGCTTTCTTGGAACCAATTTCTACCAACTAAAGATTCTTTCAAGATGTTTGCTAGTAATCTGCAGGAACTAATAAACTAAAGTCATTTTTGGTAAACATTTTGTCAAGGTATTTCCGTTCTGAAATTAAGTAATAAACCATTTATTTTCCTCATATTCCACAGCAGAAAACTGGTATCAAGATAAATTCTAAATTTAGCTTTATTTGAGGCTCCTCGCTTCGCTTACATGCAATAATATATTGAATTTGTATTAACTGAAATGGACTACTGTCTATATAAACACATCTTTGTTCTCTCCATGTCCCTGCCAGTTTCATGCAATGGATACACTGCATAAACACAACTATGATCTGAGCAGTGCCATCAGTGTTCTGGTGCCACTGGGAGGRCCTGTCTTGTGTAGAGATGAAATGGAAGAGTGGTCAGCATCAGAAGCTAGTTTGTTTGAAGAGGCRTTGGAAAAGTATGGCAAGGACTTCAATGACATTCGACAAGACTTTGTAAGTATGGAAGTAGTGCCCTTTTCTATAGCTATGTTTTCCCATGGTTGAGCATGACTGCTTTCTGTGGGTTTGGAAGGTTTAGCTGGGGCAGAAATCTGTGTAGCTGATCCRTGTGATTAACATATGAATCCATTTTATCTGGCTGAGTCAATATGCTTTCTTGTTCCATGCCATTGTGCTGAAAGATGGTGGCAGAAGATAATGTTCAGTGGTTTAATACCAGGTAGGATGTCTCATGCTGGATTTTTCAGTAAGGATTTTTACAAGGATTTTACAAGCATCTGAAAAAGGAACTTTGCAGACTATTTCCACAATTTCCAATGAAATTCATTAGCAGCTACATGGCTGACTCCCCTGGGTGTTTTTGGATTTTTTACTGTGGTTAGCACAGAGAAATTTATATTCAGATGGGTTTTTAAATGTACTACAGGGAGTTATTTTGTCATATTAGATGTTTTGGCAGTTCTGAAAAGTAAAAGAAATATTTTCCAGTGTATTCTCACTACASTGGCTTTGGTACTGAAGTATCAGACTGTAGGGCAGTAAACCTTTAGTTTGYTAATTCTGATGCAGAGTAATGAAGTTAAATGGAGTCTAACTGATTGCTGGAATTGCTAGCAATTTGCTGCAGATTTTTTTAAACATGTTATGCATAGCCTTTTTCTGTCAAGGAAAAGGATTTCTTTTGTTGTACCAAGTTCAAGTTGGGCTTAATGAAAAGGTTAATATTTGAACCAAAGGAATTACATTGGTTAAGACTGAAGTTGATTGAAACAGTTTCACATTAATTTCATTCTGCTTGACTCTCAGAGTTCAGATTTTTTATTTTCTTTGCAGAAGTTTATTAATGATCTTGGTGAGGGGGGGAAAAAAGGTACTGTGTGATAAATGTAGAAGTCCTTCTAAGATAGGGTGTGGTACAGTGGGAGGAGGCTTGGCAATGAGCTAAGCTGTCTTTCCTTCATTTTCACAGATTTGAAATGGAACAGGTAATTGAATGAAGGTGGGAAGGGAAGGCTATTGTTTTTCTAAAGAACTGACATTTTAATAGATGTATGATACCTGCATGCTTAATTTTGAGATTCCTAAGGGAAAAAATGTTCACTGCATTTATAACATAAGGTTGAAAGTTGCATCATGGATGAAACACCTCTTATAAATTCAAGAAAGTATTCTTGAGAAATAATATTTTATAGATTTCTAGAACTGAAATCTTAATGTAAACTGCATTCTATATTGTTTCTCATAGAGACAAATGGTTCTCAGCTGTAATTGTGCAATAGTTCAGGAGCTATGACTTCTAATTAAATGGTTCCTAATATATATTTGGCTTTTGAAAATGCCTTACTTTAATAACATGTTTTATTGGCTGTTTAMAAGATGTGTCCTAACACAGTTTGTGACCAAGTATGCAGAAGGCTTGTCCCTTATTTTAATTTCTGTACAATTTCTATGTTAGTTACTACTACATTAAAATACATGTAGTACATGTACCATGGTACAGTGTAGTAACATCTTGCAAGAATTGTTCTGCATTTGTAATACTTAAATGYCGAGTATTTGAATGATTCTACTAGGAGCTGTTTACAATATTTAAATTTTATCTCTAATAGATTCCTGATACCCTCCCCCTTTAGCTGAATCTTCCTTCCCAAAATGCAGATATTTTCCTATGGTCTTCCACCAAAGCAGGAAACACACACAGATCTGGTGATAGCATTGCATAGTTACACCTAAACCTTAACCATGAGTTGGAGTGCAGCATGAATGGGTGGGGGATACTAATTAATTATAGCTTCATTTAGTTAGAACAGGGATATTATCTATTCTTTGTAACTTCTTTTTACTCTTTAGAAAATTTAAATGAACACCTATTTTATATYTCAGTTTATATGGTAATAATAGTGGTGCTCAGTCTTTATTTAATTCTGTGTAATTTGAAATCTTTCAATTATGTTAATYATTGTGTAGTCTTGGGATATCTTAATTTCTCTAGTGTAAAATTTATGTGTTCKCACTTGCTGTGTAGCATTCTAAAAGTACAGGGATTTGAAAACACACATTTGCTTTTTAAGTAATCATTGAAAATAGTCCTTTGAGATTTAGATCATGGATATGTGAAAAGTTTCTGCAGGGTAAGTAGGTATAAATATGTAGCACTTAAGCAGTGATTTTCCATGATAATACTTTTATCTATTATCATCCCTCTCTTTAGTGGTGAGCCATTGATAGTTTGGTTTGATTTCTCTTAGAAGTGTTGTAAGAGCAAGGGCAAAGGAGATAATGAWCTGACAGTGTATGTGTGAACTTGTTGGAGTCTCCACATAGGATCTCATGATAAAATTGAAGTATACAGTGCCTGAGATTAAACTCAAACCTAAGCAGGACAGGCAAGAAAGTCAAATTGCATGACAAAATTGCTGTCTCCTGAAGCAGGAGGGTGATGTAGCACCTGCCTGAGTCATATCCCAGAGGAGCTGCCTTTTCTGAGCCAACCCAGATTTGCAAGATGCAGCAGCTGCAGTTGCAGCCCTTACATGGCAGTTCTGCAAAAGGGCAGATTCATTTACTTTTGCAGCAATTACAATGAACTGGTACTGTTTGATGTCCAATGTGCAGCTCAAGTATTAAACTACAAGCACKAAATATTGGTAAACAAGATTATTATAAATTAAATGGTGTAAAAGAGTTTACCTTTTCTCATAGATAGGAGATGCTCATTTGTAATTAAGTTACCACTCTAGCCTTTGAATAATAATTTTCATCAACTGTTGACTCACTGACTCTTGTGTGGAGGTTCTTCTATCGTTAATACTCTGTGTGAATCCTAATCGACCTAAACCTCAGAAACTAATTCAATTTACTTCATGTGCTTGAATTATTTCACATCCCAGGGCAGTAGAGTGGAAGAAGAATGGATATTTTATGTTCTCCAAATGTAACTATTTTCCTAACAGCAGACAAAGATGCTATCCTTGTTAATTCTTAGTTTTTTTATTATCAGCAGTTTCCTCAAGTTTATATCTCTTACATCTCAGATATGGCAGGAAAGGCCTTGATAATCAGGAATTGGAACTGTTTGTAGAGAGCAGGAACAACTGTTTTCCAGCTTCAGAAAATTGTGAAAACATGCCTTAAAGTTACCGTCTTCATTTTAGGATGCTTTATAATCCTAATTTTTTTTTTTTTTTTGCTGATCTGATTTGATTGGTCTATTTTTGCCCTGGAGAAACTAGAGAATATTAAAATTCCCTTCTCTCTGTCATAGAGTTGATAGTTTTTGCTAGTTTTCTCCTGCAAAAATGTCATGCAGATGAACATATTTACTTCTTTCACAATGGAATTTGGTAATGACAATATATTATTCTATAGCTGTTCACAGATTTGCTGGCAGTTCAGAGCAATAAGTGCATAGGTAAATGGTTATCCATATTCATYCTGTCAAACAGGTTTTCCAAGTTTTGAATCGAAGTGTAAGAGGATTGTAGTTACTTGGTCCAAGCATTTAATTATTTTCCTTTAATTGTAGATGCCTACTRAGTGAATGAACATAGTGGTGTCATAGTCATAGTTAAAACAGGTTAAAGTATTTTCTAGAGAAATGGCAAACATTTGTGTCATGAATCTATTGATAAATATTCAGGAAGGAAAACAAATATGGATAGGCTAAGATGTACTAATTGACAATGGCAGGTAGTTGGGGTAACAGGTTTTCATCTGGATGCCAGGAAGAATCTGGACCTGGAGACTGAGAATCATTTCATCTGTCAAGTCACACCAAACACATCTCCTTGTCACTGGCCTTTTCAGGGGAAGATTTATCTCAAGGCATCATTGACCTGAGAAAGCAAAAGGATTTTAGGAACCTRAATTGTGTTAGTATTTATTGGGACATCAGCATAAGCATTTCTTGCACTGCTACTTTTGAATCCAATGTAATTATTCAGGGATTTGCACACTGTGRTACACTTCTGACTCTGAACCTGAATCAAGCAGCTTGAAAAACTAGCGAGAAAAACTCCTGTGTGCAGGAGAGGCAGTTTGACAAGGTGTTCCTCTGGTGTTTTAGGAATTTACCTAAAGGTGCAGGAAACTATTTCTTTGGCTTAAGACATGCAGAAAGCTGCCTAGTGGGGTCAGTTTCCTCATCTGTATTTTCTGAAACCTTGTAAGCATCATCCTCATTTCTAGAAAGCAGATAATTGCATTAATGAATTCCTCAAGAAAATGTAACACACAAATTAGTAACGTTTCCAAGTTGCGAAGAAAAATTGCAYGAATTTTGGATGAGACATCCCAATTTAAATTGTAGAATGACCTTGTGGAGTTAAATAGATTATTTGGTGATAATTAAAAATGGTTTCTTCATTTTCTCCCTTACACTTAGGTTAATATAATATAGGTTATATCCCTTACACTTAGGTTAATATATTTTTATTTTACCGATGAAGGTGGGCGCCCAAAATAATTGTCATTATGAAATGTACCTTGTTTGCACAGAGAATTCTCTGAAACATTTGTTGTTGGTATCACTCTTGCAGCTCAGGGTAGCATTTGTCCCTTGCAGTCTTTTGTTTCTTGATAATGGTTGAGAGCATGTGGGAGTTTATGCAAAACTAGTGGTATGTATGAGCAGCTGAGTTGTTATGGGACATGAAAAATCTGTGAACTGAGTATGGTATCCTTTGTATTTTTTAAGAGTAAAATTATCATGAGACTCGAGCACAGTCTTGTCAAGATGATTACTTTTAKTCCTAATGTTATTCTCCATCTGATACACTTTATAATAGAGATATTCTGTGGTACCTGAWGGAAATCTGCATTCTGTTTTGATCATTTTTTTTAACCATATGGCTTAAACAGAATAAATTACATTTAGATTTGGATGTGTGATATTGTAATTCTGCATACTTGTTAGCCATAAGAAAAGATTGTGTTTTATTAATTGCAAAACGTGTTTGTTTGCATATGGATTCTAATGTAGTTATCTAATGCATTCAGATTTTAGTGTTTGTCTCAACTATACTTGATTTTAACGTGTGTTTAGCAAGAAGCAGACATTGCAATTTCTTGGAACCACTTCAATTTTTAACAAATGTTTTTCAGCTCCCTTGGAAGTCGCTGACCAGCATCATTGAATATTACTACATGTGGAAAACCACTGACAGATATGTGCAGCAGGTAATTTAATGACTATTTTAATGACTATTTTTAATGAGTATTTCAGTATGAGGCAGTCTGAGACGTTCTTAAAAAAATGTGAACTTTTTAAAGCATAAAAATCTGTTTYTTTCTTGAAAAGATCCATGATGGGAGGCCTAAGGTAATATTTTAGGGTGCAAACCAGTGGTTCATGCTGTTACAGGCTGCACTGTCAAATGCTCTGATGCCTGCTGTACATYCCATAGCTGTGAAGAGCTTTGTGTCAGATGCTGGTTTGAAGCAGTGGGGTTCCTGGTTCCTACTTCAGTAGAGGATCAGAAGGAAATGGGCTGCAGAGCAAATGATTTAGGCTGTGAGGCTCTGCTGTGGGACTGAACAAAACAGAAAAATGCATTGTATTAMTGTGGCTGCTGGTATTATGAACCTTTTATTAAACTCCCAGACAAAACATTACATTGGCATTACCAGATTTCAATATTGAGACCATTCGGCACACAGTGGGTGTGTTCATCCTTCTGATTGAATGTTCAGCTGGGTTCCTGTGGAGCACAAACGTGTTAAGATTATATTTGGGATATTTTTAGCAGGTTTAGGCAAAATTTCAGTATTGGTGAAATCTATTCTACTCTTAATAGATTTATTCCTTGGTTTAGGCATAWAAAATACCTGAAAATACATTAATTCCTGATTTAGTGTTTAAGTCTGTAACCCCTTTACTTACTGCATAATTGATGGTGGTGTTATGGACAGCATGTTGAAAATATTTTTTTTTTTTTTTGCTGTAATAACTGCAGCTGTACTGTTGGATGAATCTTTGGACTTGTTTCAGATTAAATGTATCCAAAGAATGATTGCTGCCGGTTGTTCTGGTTTATTTGAGTTTCTACATCATCTTGTTATGGTATGGAAAGTAAGGGAAAGATCTTTTACCACATAGTAGAATCAGACTACCACTAGGACCTTTTAGTTCTATGGATGATACAAGTAGAATATGATTACTTCTGTATGAAGGCATGTTTTCCTAAGTTTGTCACCATTCATTTCACTTTTAACACCTTTATTCACTTTTAAATTTTATCCTAGAAAGGTGCTGCCAACAGGGATTTGCTCTTCATCTTGTCAACTCTTAATGATTGGGCAAGATTATCTTTAAGAAACAGATAAAAATGTGACCTTTTTCTGACACATTTTGTCTGGAGTGGCTGGTGAAAGACTAAGGTTCCCTTTGTAGCTCTCGAGCTCTATTATGATTCTGTTGCTACAATGATCAAGGTATGGGATGTGTTAAGATTGCATGTCCTTTCACAGGATTAGAGTTTTTACAAGAAAAACWCATAAGCTTTGTGGTTATCTGCAACTTGAATGCTCTGGTAAAAGCCYGTGTTTTACTTGTAACTAAATAAACTTACAACATCCTACTCATACCATGGCAACACGCTCAGGATTGAATGCCTTAGATGTGTTCTTGCAGGGTCACATAGGTGATTGTCAGTAACAAAACCAGTTTAGGCTAAATGTCTGATTTTTATCCTGGTTAATATTTCTGTAATACTTCCTAAGAAGGTATCAGAACTTCCTCATCCCCTTGTTTAGTTTTTTTGTAAAATGGTAAAAATGAATACAGTTCAGTAAAAACAATATCTGTAGGTTGTTTTATTTTTTTTTTCCCCAAAAGAACTAGCTGTGAAAATTGAATGCATTTCAGGGAGAAGAAGCATTCAGTAAGAAAGTGGCAATTTTCAGAGTCATTCTTCTCTAAATTGCATGTTTTAGTGGTAGGGAGACTGGTGGTAATGGGAAGATGAAAAATTATATTTAAATCTTAAAATACCGTCTCTGTGCCCTAGATTGGTGTGATTTAATGTGAAAATTTGCTTTTAATTATCTTTATTTCTTTGTRTGAACTGGATGTGTTATGTCAGGCTTAAGAGAGGTTTATTTATCATAGTTGTTACTAAATGTTATTCTTGCAAGGTTGTAAATGTGGTGATTTAATKGCAGTGGAGGTACTGCTACCACCTTGCTTTGAGAGCATCTTCCCTTCAGGTCAAAGTGAAGGGAAGATAAGTTAAAGTTCTCTGAACTTGTCTAACAAAACTAATTCAGGCCTTGGGTAATGATTCTTGGTGATATGGCACTTCTCATGACCTCTGCATTAYGTATGGTGTTTGAGGAAGGCCAGGTTTTGATTGATTGATTGTACTGAATGAAAAGATGTTTGGGTATTCTCCTTAGAARTCCAATTCAATGCAAAAAGCCTTTACTGAGACTTTGTAAGAGGAAAAGAGAGAATATATTAAATGGTAGCTGAATTGCTCTGCTACAACAACATAYTGCATTTGCCTCTCATTTATTTCCCCTGTTGAAAACAGTACTAATTAAGGGAAATGGTAATTTCTTGGGAAAACAAAAGTTCTTGAAAACCACAAACATTTGGCTTCAATGCTAGTTCATTAAAAATAGTACTCCCCAGGTGAAAAACTGGGTTTTAGAAACCAAGCTGAGTTTGACTTCCCCTGCAATGCTGTCTGTAAGATTTTTTTGAAATACTGTTTAAGATGTAATTTTTTTTTCCCTAGGTAAAGCATCAGCTCTCTTTGTTACATTGTGCCAGTAATTTGTTACATATCTCGAGGGATTTGTTACAAACTGGCACTCTGTTTTCTTTTCTAAATATTTTCAGTTTCACCTTCCAGCTTTTACCAGTTCTGTCTCTAAATATCAACAGGCAGTGGTTTCATCCCAAAAACTGCAACTATTGGTAGTTTTCTGTCTKCATCCTTTCCTCTCTCTTGATACTTAAATGTTGGTATGTCAGTGTGAATTCAAGCTATGACATGTTCTGTTGCTTTTACAGAAGAATGTTGGCCATAGTTTTAATGAAAATACAGTTTATACTGAAGTGACATTGCATGATATTTTTTTTTAAAGGCAGTACATTATTCACTTTAGTAAATAAAGRAGGAAAGCAATTGTTAAATTGCATTCCTTACAACCCCATGCCAGTACTAAAAGTATGCTAAAATTTAATTAATTTTAAATTAATTATAGTCTATTATTAAACTATTTAATTATAGTCACTTAGCACTGACACTGCCATCAGGGCTTAATACAGCTTCCTGCACATGTCTTTACATTTTGACAGTGCTTCAGGGCTACTTTCCTTGTTCCTTGCCCCTTATTTTATTTTCTCTTTTGCTCGTGGTGGCTGTACGGTGAGATTTACTCATTCTTTTTGTAGAATGGAGCTGTTTTGTTAGGAAACTCTGTGGAATGTGTGTTACCTGTTGACTGGCAGTTTCACATGCTTTTTTTCAGGCTGAAAAGAAACTCTGTGTTTCAGAGCAGCTTCTCTGCTGGGGCTGTGAAATGTTCTCAGATTAAAAACTCCCTGTTTATGAGACTTGGAGCATGGTGCTGCTGCTGTTCTTTCTCCTTGCTCTTGTAAAAACTGACCCAAGCAGGCAGAGCAGACCATGTTTGCATTTTTCTTTGGGCCTACTGAAGGCAGAGCAGGGTTGCCAAGCCTGGCACTGGGAAAAGATTGCAACAGCAGTGTCAATGTAATTCACTTCTGTAGCTCCAAACATAACTGAGCATCTGTGAGCGGCAAAAAACTGTAAGGAAAAAAGGCCTTTCTGTGGAGATAAATGGAAAAGAGCTCTCATATTGCATGGGAATTAGTTAAAGGACTGATTAGAAGTCTGTTTGTCATGTATTACTCCTTAAAGATGCAGTTTTTATAAGTGAGAGTTTTGTAAATGGACAGCACAGAGGCARCTTTATGGAATGGAAAAGAACAGTGGTTTACATGAGGAGGTTTCCTCAGACTGCTGGGCCAGTGAAGCTGAATAACCCTGTAACTCACCTCATGGCTCAGGAAAGGGACTTCCAGAGCTGTCGTCTAATGAGTTTTTTCAAGGTGGGAAATATTTTCCTGGATTATAAGCCTTGCTAAAGTTTGATATCAAAAAATAGGAGTATAGCAGAGGGAAGAATTGGCTCTTGTAGGAGAAATGAAGGACTGAAGTTTAATCACCTGATAAAGAAAGACAGGTAGTACTGATGTATTATTGCTGGATATAAATGTGTGCCCTGCTTTTTTTTTCATTTTCTGTAATGAAATTGACCACATTTCAACTCCTTTTCTCTATTCTTCTTTTTTTCTCCCGAGTGAACAGAAAAGTAAAGTGATGAGTAAAGAAATTGCAGGGAAATAATGTTTTCCCTTCATCTTTTGCATACAAAATTTTTGGATAACCTGTAGACATCTCAACGCTATATTTCTTGTGCCAATGCTGAAAAAACTGTTGTCTTAGTTACCTGCATGATACATGGCAATAACTAAAACTTCTCAACATTATAGAAATGCAAAATGCTTTGTGTTTGTTGTGAATATGAAGGAAGTAATGATTTAGTGAATTCTTAGGGTATCTTGATGGTAGTATAGCTGCCCTGTTACTGTGATGCTCCTGAGCCACAGTTTTTAATGGCATTTAATGCTAGTAGGTGTTCAGTTGTTTCTAACAGCCAGTGGAATTTACTGTTCCTTGTGTTATAAAATCCCAGCCTCAGTCTGGACAGGGCACACAAGAAGTTTTGTTACRTGACTGATGAGGAATACAATTTCATCCATTTAGTTTTTTCTTAATTCTGCAGTGAGGGGTAGCCACAATGTTGTATGTGTTTATAAAGTGTAATTTGTGTAAATTGTGTCATTTTTACAGTTTTGTTGCCATGTGTGAGCCCCTGTAAGTTTTATTGGGAAGGACAATATATTATGGTTTCAAACTGATAAATAGAGGACTTGTTCTTTGTAGTTTTCATCTTGTAGATTCCTACACTTGTTTTGGAGGCTCTTGAGAAATCACAATATAGAAATAATTTAAAGATGGATTGTGTGCAGTTTTATGAAACTTAATGCCTTAATAAAATATTTTAATGTGTTAATTTTTCAACTAGAAACGTCTGAAAGCGGCTGAAGCAGAAAGTAAATTGAAACAAGTATACATCCCCACCTAGTGAGTATAACAACAAAGTAATTTTTTTTTAATAATGTACAGGTAAAATTGAAGCAGTAACATGCAGTTGCATACCTGCTATTTTCCCATTTATTTCTTTTTAATGGTTACTTACACAGGATTTGTTATATACACAGATATAATCAGAATGTGCTAGAAACCCTTGTGTTAAGTGAAAGCTTCTTGCTTTACTTTATCTTTGACCTGCAATCTTTTTGTCTGGAATGAGAAGTTTTACAAAATGTGATCAAGTRCTGCCTCTGGACTGCTCATATACAAGAAGAGCCTTATCATTTAAAAAACAGTTTTTCCAAAATAATAACTTCCAAATCCCTGTAGCACAACAGTTCATATTTGCATAAATGCAGTATTTCAAAATAGAAGCGGTAGTTAATGTAGTTATATAAAATAAAATGATGATTTCCCATTATCTTGCTGATAMAATCTGTTCTTCATCTAGAGACAAGAGATGTTCTGGCTATAAATGAAAGGCTGTAAATGAATGCCCCAGATCTTCTATCTTTGACCAAGTCCTRTTAATGAAATCTTGTTTTCTTCCGTGGGGTTTTTGATCTGTATTTTTTTAGATTTAAATTTGATGCTATATCTGCCTCTGTTAACATGTGGTTTGCAGAAAAAAATACATAATCCCTCCTTCATAATCATAATTTTTTCAATATTATGATGTGAAAGGATTGCAAACCACTTTTTTCTAAGCTTTCTGTGGGTATATTCAGTTTATGTATATATGAAGTTCCCATTGTTATGAGTGTTTGTATAACAGAAGAATGTAATACCAAAGGAAGTACTTTGCAAATACTTTTGATGACTTGTATAAATTACATACAATAGATTGTCATTTCCATATTTCTCTCTTAAACAGAGATAACAATGAAAGCAGCAGGTTGTTAAATTAATTATTTTAATTTTATCTCTGAACAAATGTTGTGAGTTTCRAAGCTTACATTTCTAATAAGTAACACTGTTTTAAAAAAAGCTCAAAACTCTAGTGTGAGTGTTCCCTAACCTTCTGAGGGAAATGGCTGCTTTAGGAAAACCATAARGTGCTCAGTCTTTACATTATGCTTTTTCATTTTAATTTCCTTGCTCCATGTGGACAATTTAGGATTCTCAATATGTTCACAGTAGGGACCAGCTGTATTGGATGACAAAATGTGTTTCAAAATGTGGGGTTTTTTTTCATTTTTCTCTTACTGCCTGTCTTTTGCCTCCATTTCAAGACAAAATCCCTAGTCAACAGTAAGAAGATGATAGGAATTCTCGAGTCTTTGATATGTGTCCAATMTGGGATGCTCATGGGGAAGTGGATTGCTAAATGCTCTGCTTCAAGACTAATTTATTGCATTTGAAATATGAGAATTGATTCTCAGAGCTGAGTACTTTTTGAACTTGATCATTAGGTATTTCCTGTAAGTGCAAGGTTCTGTCCTTAATACCAGAGAGCKCCTTTCAATCCATGGCTTTTCTGGAAGGTAACTAAGCAACAGATCACAATGTGAAAGACTTAATTGTCTCTTGATCCCTTCTCTTGTACCTTGAGCCCATGATAAAGAATATGTGGAAGTTGTAAAAGTGTCTCTTGCTGGATATAGTGAAAAAAGGAGAAGGCAGGAGACAGACTTGTTGGCATTTGAAATAGAGACTTGATACAGCACAGGGTTCTTCAATTGTCATTTTAACTTTTCTTGAATATGTTTTACACTATCTAAAGTAACAATCTTAGAAATCAATGTATCCAGCCTTTCAGTCAAAGTTGAAATTTTGGAAATATTGCACTTAACCTAGTGAGGAGTATATTAATGCTCTCTGAATTAATTCACCTGTAAAGTCCTACTTCATTGAAGTATTAGTAGTTACAATAATTACAAGAATGATATGGTATAATAATATTGAAAAAAACTAAACAAAAATATCCAAAACCAGTTTTTTAGTCTTCTCAGAGAGGGAGTAGTTTAGRAGAGAACCCAGATAGAACAACCTGATAATATATGGGTGAGTTTCTCCAGGGTTGTAAGACATTGGCATTAGTGCAATTGGTGGCAAGGTGTGTCCTTTTTCAGAAGGGTGGTGACTTTTTCCTAGGATGAACAACATTGTAGTATCACAGGCGATGTTGCAACTCTTTCTTGTTAYACTTCACCCAAAGTCCATCCTCAAGTTGTAAAGCCTTATCGGTTGACTGGAATCACCTCCTTAAATTCTGTACTGTGTCAGGCTTTTGTTGATGGACCCTGAGGCTTGGTCTTYTATGAGCTTGCCAAGCAGCTCAGATCATGTGAGCACACTGAAGAGCTGGAAATTGGAGCATCAGAGCAGCTCCTTCCATGTAAGCAAATCTCTTACAATGCTGAAAATAATAGAGTACAAAAATTAGTCTTGTTGAATAGAGAAGATTTTTTAGATGTTGTCAGCATACATCAGAATTAGATTGTTTGCCTTCCTGCTGACTAATCAGTTAGTAAAACCACTTTTTCCCCCCCTCACAACCTTTTTTTATTTATTTAAAGCAATAAACCAAATCCCAATCAAATATCCAGCAACAATGGGAARCCTGCTGCAGTCAATGGAGCAATGGGAGCCTCTTACCAGGCACAAGCCACAGTAATAGGTCGGGCTTGTGAAAGCTGCTATAGTAAGTAAATATTTTTTTAATGACTMAAGAGTTTGGCTTAATCTTAATATCTGCTGTTAAAAATAAAGCRTATACACTTTTGTTTGCATGTGATAAAGGATAATTTGCAATTACTTTTATGACGGAAATATCTTTAAAGTTACAGCTGCCTTCAATATATTAATTAAAATAATTTTAAAAATTACTTTGTGATTTATTTTTTAACAATTCATAAAGTACGGGAAGTTTAAGTAGTATAAGATGATGGCATTGATTCCTTTACCTTCAGAATGCTAAATTCAAATTTATTTTTGGTTTTGCTATAAATCTGCAGGGTTTTTGAGGTTTCTTTTTTTTTTTGGTTTTTTTGGTTGGTTTTTTTTTGTTGTTGTTGTTGTTGTTGTTGTTGTTGTTGTTGTTGTTTGAATGGTTTTGGGGTGTTTTTCCCCCCTCTGTTGTTTTTGGGGAACATGGGGAAGAATTGGTACTTTCTAGTATTTTGTGTTATTCTGATAATTCTTGTTGGACTTCTTGTAATAGCAACCCTCAACAGAAGTTATAKGAGAGTAGATATAGATCCAAATTAATATGCCTGTCTTCCATGATGAGATTAGAAATAGCGGTTTTGTTTTTTTCTGGTAGTCCCCTGGAAGAAAATATCTTCTTGGTGATATTTAGTCCATGTTTTAAAATTTATTACAAAAGCACTTCCAAAATTTCCATTTGCAGTTTACTTTTGTAAACCATTTGTGGTGCTTTTGTAAAAAAATAAACCAACTAAACAATTCAACTTCTTAGTTTCCATGCCAAATACATTAAATATTTACTCAATGCCATATATTATGGCCATATATATCCATCCAATGCCATATATTTTGGCCCTATATAGCCATCTATTACAGCATTTGGATTTGTTGTAGTGAATGCAGCATGCACCAGTTCACCTGTGCTGTTTTCTCCTCCTCAGCTTCACAGTCTCACCAATGGTATTCTTGGGGTCCTCCCAACATGCAGTGTAGGTTGTGTGCATCCTGCTGGATTTACTGGAAGAAATATGGTGGCCTGAAAATGCCCACGCAGACAGATGATGATAAACTGTCTTCCAGCCAACCTACAGAGGTAGGACTGTGTAGATAAACTTTTCTAAAACAAATCATGGTGCTTTCAAAACATGGTGTTTTTTTCTAAAACAAATCATGGTGTAATCTGATTATTTAATGGAATGTTTTTATGTATGTGTTACAAAATTCAGTGTATTAATCCTTACCGTGTGTTAAGTAGAGTGGTACACTGGTCAGGCCTTGCTGTGTCTTTATTTGACTATTTCCTGGATAAACAAACATGCACTTCCTGCAGTTTTGGTGGAAAAATGTCATTTTGTCTRTCAAATGGTGTGTTATCTATGAAATGATAAATTAGCTATACAACATCTCATTTGGAATGGCATTCTTTATCCATTCTCAATAGAGTTCTCTATGCTGTAGCTTACAGCTTCTTACCCAGGCCATTGTTTTGTATATTGCTCAGATGTATGATGTGCTAATTGTTGAGGTTGTCCAGCCTGTGGCTGTCTGAGTGCTGGGGTTCATCTGTGTGTGTTGTCACCTCGCTGTTCCTTTCCGYAGGAGCCGCATGTCCGAACTCACCTGTCCCGGCAGGCCACGCAGGGCACCCCGGTGCGGAACACGGGCAGCCCCAAGTCAGCGGTGAAAACACGTCAGGCTTTCTTCCTGCACACCACGTGTTGGACAAAACTGGCCCGTCAGGTCTGCAAAAATACCCTCCGGCTGCGGCAGGCAGCGCGACGTCCCTTTGTCCCTATTAACTGTGCTGCCATTAAGGCAGAATGTAAGATGTTTTTTTAATTCTTAGTTCTGTGTGCTGTGCTTCCCACCCATTTTTTTTGTCTTTTAATTTTATTTTCTTTTTCAATAAACATTTCTTGTCTATACACTTTTGCTTTTCATTTTTTTTTTTTATTTGTCCAGCATATCACCGACACATTGGATAAAGTCTGGTTGCCTTGAACAGATCTTAGGCTGTGGAAACATTTCAAATTAATTAAAAAGGGGATAACTATTACCTCATTCACTTTCAAAAATTGATATTAACAAAAATGGGGGGCAGGCAGAAAAAATCAATGCCATGACATCCATGCTTCCTGCTATGCAGCATGAAAGAAGTGCTTTTATGKTTTTTTTTAACATTCTTTCGCTGAGCAGAACATACAGATTTGTTCATGCTGTACKTTTTTTCTGTGGGGTTGGTCAAAGAATCAGGAGCTGGGGATTCATAATATTTTAAATGTGATGARCAATGTGGTCCTTTGTCACTGTGATGATCAGATGGTGGTCATAGCCATGTTTATTATTACATCATAGTTGCATCATTTTGGTTTTCTTTGTTCCAGCTTTAAATTTTAGTTTTAAATAAAATTCTGCATAACGTTTGTTCTTTTTATAGCCCAAATATAAAGGCCTGATGAATTTCTAATAGCATGACAACAGGCTATGAGTTTTTTGTAGATAGCAACAGTAAGTCTCTTCACCAGCTTGTGTGTGTAAGTTCAGCTGCTAGGTTGCTGAATATCTCAACAGCTTTTGTGTCTGCAGTGAGCACATTGTTTTRCTGTTCACATTGTCTGGCTGTGTTTCCCAGTCTTTCCCAGTCCCAGTTCTTGGAGCAGATGCTTGGTATTCCAGGATGAGCCATGCTGGCTTGTTRTGCTGTCAATTGTATTAGAATTGGACTTTTAAGATTATTAGATGTAGGGTTTGTAACCATTTTTACTAGATTAACACTAAATGTTTTCCCAGAATACTTATCTGGGAAAACACAGATGTCTGTGTTGTTTATAAGAAATTTACTCCATGGAGGCTTAAAATCTGATTTTGAGTAATTATTTCCCTTTAAGTACTTTAAGACCAGCCATTACTCACATGCAAACTCTTCACCTACTTCTGCAGTACTCCAAAACTTGCTTGAATGTTTCTGTTCAATGTCCTTTTCTAATTTTTTAATTGTCCTTTTGGCCATTTTCTTTTTTCTTTTAAATCTATGCAAATCAGGAGCARCTTTCAGATTTAAGGAAACCTTGTGTCCTCTGTGTGAATAAAATGAGTTGTTTTTCATGGAGGAAGTGTGTTTGAGGCTGGGTTTGGATTATATTTTTAATCCTCAATCCAAAGTAAGAGTTATTTTCTGAGAGAAAGATRCTGTACATTTAAATTTATGTTTCTGCTGAACCATGGAAGAAAATTTAGAAATTCACTTGAACCTTATATCTTTTTATCCATATCTCTATTTCTTCTCACTCACTGCAGTAAAAAAAAATCAAAAGATGAAACTTTTGTTTAAGGAAAAGAATAAACAGAAGAAAAATTTCATCCAATCATCATGCTAGAAAACACGGTCRACTTTAAAAGAGAGGAGTGAAAAGCTGAGCTTTTCAGCAGGAAATAGTCATTCTTGCTTTAAACTGGCAGTGCTGTGTTTTCTCTGCTTTTTTGAGTGAAAAATTTCTGCATCAGATTAATGGCAAGAGCAGGAAGATTTTTTATTTCCCCCTGCAGTCTCTGTCTTTCGTTATTGTTTTTGGTTAAAGCAAAGTTTAGACCTTGTGATTTTGTCTTTTTGAAATCTGATGCTTCCTGATTAGACCTAATACAGGTTGACGAAAAAAAAAATCACAGTTTTTAATGGTTTTTGAACACAGCATTAAAATAATGTTCTAATGGTGGAAACCAAATTTTACCTCAACTAATTTAACTCACATTTCTCTGTACACAYGCACATATCCACAATCCATGTTCTGTTTCTGGCAGTCTCTCCTTCTGTGGAATCATTGCAGTGCTCTTACCTGCATTGTCATTGTTGTATTCTTGCTCTAGTAAAGCCAAAAAAGTAAGTAAAGAAAAAAATTGTTTTGTAGTTTTATTCCTATACTAATAGCTGGGGATCTGTTCTCAGTGCACTCTCTGTGGATTTTAATGTTATAACTAAACAGTCTCTCTTTTCCTGAGAATGCCCTGAATCCTTTYTTAAGGTTATTTTGGAGCAAATAATTTTTACGTTTTCAAACAAGATACTTAATTAGCTGCAATGATTTCCTATGCTGGATCCACTGAGTAATTACAGTATTGAATGAATATCTGTGTTGGTATTAGAAATGTTACGGTCACGCTCAGATAATAACCTAGCCAGAGTACCAGGTCACCCATGATCTGATATGGCATGAGATGGTTACAACAGCCAAGAACTGATTTGGAATTTGTTTTCCATGTTCTGTCCTGAAACTTGAATCTGATGGCTGTTTGGATGCTTTGTCAGACTCAACTGACTCTGCGTGTGCCAAACCAGTTCTTGAAAATGTAACTCCCTTTCCCAGCTGTATTGCTTTAGGCACCATAAAAACACTCAGCAGCCATAAAATCTGAGGACAGGAGGATTGGTAGGGCTCTTATCCCAGCAGCATACYAGGTTTTATGCCCTCTTAGTCTTGTGCAATTTGTTGAAGTGCCAGGTTGTAAATGAAACTGATTCCCAGATCTTAGAATGATTGTCCGAACAAGCATGTCAGAGCTCACTCATAAAATAAATTGGTTTTTGCATTCCACCTGTGCACCTGAATCCATCTGCAAGTACTTCTGTTATCTTCCATGCTCCCATGGAAGCCTCTGAGAACAATAACCTAAGGCCCAAGCATCTTGTAGGTGAAACCAGGTTTTGACAGAGCATTTTTTTATTGTTGTAATTCCACCCACATCATATCCCTCAGCCCATTATATCCACTGGCAGGAAACAAGGTCCTATTCTGTGTTCTTTATTCCTTCAGTTAGTGCAGAGAATTAGATTTTCCTCATTAAGGAAGCCTATGGCATGACCCCTGCTCAGATGCCAGCAGGAGGTGGTGGAGATGATGCATTTCCATCCCAGTTCAATCTCGGAATGGTCACCAGGAGGGTGAGAAGGCACAGCACCTCCTGCTGGGAGCACAGCCTATCATGGACAGCTCAAACTGTGTTCTGCCTCAACTTAATAGACTTACTGTGGTTGCTGACAATAAACTTGTCTGATGGTTTTTCAGGAATAATTAGAATTGGTGAACTGCTTTGCAAAAATGAAACTCTCACTGTCTAAATCTCATGCACTACCTCCTTTTTAGTTTAAATTTTTTTTTTTTTTTTTAAGAAATTAAGCTTTTTTATTTTTTATATTTTTTTTTTTTTTTTTAGTTTTTTTTTTTTTTTTTTTTTTTTTTTTTTTTTTTTTTTGAAAGTTAAGCAAAACTATCCTGTGTGGTGAAGGTCTCTTAATTAGAGAAAAGCAAAGTGAGCATTCTTCTCAGCAGTCCCTGACAAAACTGGATCTGTTTCCAGCTCACAGGCAGGTTGATAAATGCTTGGCAGTGAGCCATGAGTCTGTAAATATTATTGCTTCAGCACAGGGAGACTTTGGAGGGATTGTTTTTTTCCATTGCTTTATCAATATAAATATATGTATTAATTACAGCAATTTAAATCCGGATAACTACATGCTGTCTGTGCAGAGATTATTTTCAAAATGTTTTCAGTGCATGGTAACATTATTTGTATAATATAGGTACAGCTATCTGTAAATAGGATTATTAGTCATGATGAAAGCTTATCATGCCTTTAAATCCTCAGATTTATTAACAAATGTGGTACMCAGTACTTGCTAGTGATCTAGTTTGGTGAAGCAAAGTGAAAAAGCAAAGTGAAAACAGTAGAATGTGCAGACTACTTTGTCTTCMTAAGCATAAAGTTTGTATTTTACTGACATAAAACTACCCATTCATCTGAACTGAGTAACATTTATGGGTATTGTTTCTCAAAGTATGTTTTGCATCCTTGATTTTCRTAGCTATGGAAGAGCTTTTGGCCATATTTAGATGAAAATATTTTCTCTGCTGTTATCTTTCAATACAATTTGTGCCACATTTTAGGAACAAGCAAAATAATTGAAAGAGTATACTATTTTTTTCCCAAAGTTTCTAAGAAGAATACTATTCAGGGAATACATAGAGCACAGTATGTTAATTAGATAATCTGCATTTTGACAGAGATATGAYGGAATGTCAAAGAGAAATAACTTGCTAATGAGAGCCTCTCTAAGCTTAAGAGGCCTAAAAATGTAGGTTTTTTTTTTAAAGGGAGTAATTAGAAAATACTTTCAGTCCTAAAAGCACAGCCTCATTTGTTGTCCTCTTCTTGGTTCCTGATTTCTTTCAGCTCTGTTAATATCCACATCAGTTATCATGCTTGGCATGTTTAAAGCCTCATAAAGAACATGTTTCACATAGTGGTCTGAAATGTTATTTCCTAAAGTTTTGCTAATTGTGCCATGTCCTCTTGAGAGTTATGGTGCCCCGAATTATGTGCACGTCAAGATACAGATTTCCCATAATTTTAGAAAGTCACGTGTTCTATTTTCTTACCATAATTTCTAACTTTCTGATTTTGATTTCTTTTTGGTATTTATTGTTTAGGTATTTTTAGAAAGCCATTGATGCTGACTCCATGTATACTTTTTTGCTTTGTGGTGGTGTAGAAGCCATAATTATATCTGTACATTACAGCTGTTTTACCCCTTAAGAATTCATTTGCATGCATTGCTTGATGCTGCTGCTATCTTGTGCTTTGATTATGCTCAGAAATTTCTTGCCATAAAATTTTAGCTCTCTAATCTCCTCTTTTATATGTTGAACAGCACAGACCATTTGGGGATTACATAGGCAATTCATTTTTATAAGGTGCTAATTCCTGAAAAACCCCTTTTGCCCTGTAACAGCTGGACAGCAGAGATCTTTGGTGACACAGTTTGGTAAAAGCTCACCRAAATGCCAAGTTGGATGCCAGATCAGATGCATGTGGACATGTCGTGGTCCTCTYAGAGGATCCTGGCAGACCTCTGAGACTGGCAGTTACTGGTTTATAGGACATGGAASTGGGAAGGGACCCTGGAGGTCTCTAGTCCTACTTCCTGCACAAAGTTCATGTGCTTATGRGCCTTTTGTCCAGATGAGCTTCGTGCATCTCTAAGGATGGGGACTGCAGACTGCTCTGGGCACCTGTTTCASTGTTTGATCAGCCTCAGAGTAAATAATCTTATCCTTAAATGTTACAATTTCCTGTCTCCCAGCTTGGCTGTTGCCACGCACAGGAGCAGCGTGTTGTCCTGTCCCTGTGTTCCCTTGAGAAGGGTCTGGCTCGCTCTGCCACTGGGAGGCTGCAGGTGACAACCAGGTGTCCCCTTGTCCTTCTGGTCTCAAGGCTGCCTGTCCTGTACTCAAACATTTAATCGGTTTGGTGGGTCCCCATCACCTGGATGGTTCCAGTGTGCCTCTGTCCCTTGKGTAATGGGGATCCCAGGGCTGAACATGGCATCTGGCCACTGTTTCCCAGGGCCTGAGGGRGAAGGTGACCTCCCTCACTCGCCCTGCTGGGTGTGTGTGTACAAAGGTCCAGAGCACCACCGTCCTTCTTGCTGCAAGGACACACCATGAGTAATGAGAGCACATTAAACTTGTTTTCCCTTCCAAGGTCTTTGTTGGCTCCCTTGATGTTTCCAAATTTAACCAYGTGCCTCCATTTATAACACAACCTTTTGCCACTCTGCAGACCTACTTACTGAAGAGTGTTATCACACTTGCCCTGGTTTTGTTCCCTTGAACCAAGACCATTTAAGCATTCATTAAATTCCAGCAGTGTGTCTGCTCAGCAGTTTGGATGAATTCCACCTGGTCCTAGTAACTTGGTTTTACTCATTAACCAGTTTGTTTTGAAATGTTTCCTATTGACACTTTAATGTGACACAACCCTCATACTTTGCTCATGAAAGTATTTTGGAAGTGAGCTTCTTTAAGTGCTTCTGCAATGARCACTGATGCAAGGAATGTGTTTGGCTTTTCTGCTGTGCCTTTATCTTTCTTTGGATTTGTCTCACACCTTCATAATCTATTGCTACAGACACCTGCACACTTTCTGCTTTTGCTATGTTTGAAAAATCTGCTATAAAATACAAGGCTTCTTCTCTTTGTCGGTGTATTTTTTCTCATAGCTTCCACTATTTCAYTGATCTTACTAAGATTTTTATTATTCACCTAGAAGCTCATATTTGATTTTAGGACTTGCTTTAAATTTTKGGGTTTGTGATGATTTCCTACCCAAATTTTATTATCTGATTCTACACTCAGGAGTGATGCACAATCCAACTTCTGTGGTTTTCTCTGTGTTCTGCATAAAGATCATAAACTTTATTATACTTTTTATGGGAGCAGTTTATTGTGGATCAAAGTTTGCTTCTGTTAAACATATTTTACTATTTCAATAGATAGGGGTGCTTTGGTGAACGTGCTTTATCTCAAGCATGGAAATTGTGCTCTCCTTGCAGTACGTGTTCCCAGTCAGCATATTAATATGGCTTCATGATTCAATAGCTTTTTTTATAATGAAGACACATAGATGGAAAATTTTCTTGCTAATTACTTCTTTGGTGATGCTTTGCTGTTCCCAAAGTAACTATAAAATTCTGTACAAAATACTGTATAAAAAACTGTGCTGATTTTACTGAGGGAGTTAGTGGAGACACATCATTCTGCTCCATCACTTAAAATATGTGTAGTGGAATATTAAAAATTTTCCAGGCACCATGTTTGTGCTTTTTTTGTAGTTTGGTTTTGTGGTGGGTTTTTTTTTGTTTTTTTTTTTTTTTTTTTTTTTTTTTTTTTTTTTTTTTTTTTTTGTTTTTTTCCATGAACAGAGATATTTTGTGATTCGGAGAAAATAATAAAGTGCCTCATGTACTCAGCTTTAGGGCTTTGGAACCTTTGAAACCCATTGGTATTTCCAGAATGTCAAGTAGATTCCTTAATCTGTTTAAGTTGTGCTTTGTCTGCTGCACTGGAAACATCTGCTTGAACATCTGACATACTCCAGTCATTGCTGTGAATTCACGACCTTCATGATTTTTGTACAGAGCTTGATAGAATAGRTAAAGATATTATAAATTGTTCTATATGGTGCCTTATCATTTTCCTGTGGCTGTGTGCTCTGTGTCATGTGCTGGATTGAAGCAAACAGGAAGAGTTTGGTGAAACACAGGGTGGAGTTGCAATTATAATCTATTTATAATGTGGCTCACCTATAAAGTTTGTTAGAAAATGCAGAWCTGCATGAGCAAAGGAAGGAATAAATGTAGGTAGGTATTTGTGGAGACTAATTACATGTGAGAAAACTCTTGGTCTATACAATCACTGTATGAATGCAMTTTTGTACAGAACAGAATACCCTTGTTCTAGGAATACTGGAAGCTCTATATGAGAATTTCCATGTGCTTTTAGAAGTCAGATAACCAAACCATGCTGAATAATTAAGAAGAAGAAAAAAAATAGTGTATTTCCAGTAGTCTTGAAATTATTTACTGAATCTTGGCTTGTGAATTTTTGCCTTAAGTTGATTGATTTCATTGTTTAAGCATGAGCCTCTTGACAGTAACACTTTGTGACACATGGATGGAATCTCTGCTTGTGTGCTTACAGYAGGAGCATGAAATTTAAGGCAGTTGCTGCACTGCCAGTTTTTATGTCCTTTGCAGAAAGTTACAATCTTTRAAACCTTGAGCTCTTTCATACTGGGTTGCAACTGACCATTTTGTTCAAAACTTTTCAATGAAGGAGTTGTTTTGGTTGTTTCGTTTTGTTTCTTTTCCGAAGCCATAATGGCCCCTGTGTTCAGTTTTAGTTGTTAAGCATTTTGTGGATCACCATTATGCAGGTAAGACATGACAAARATCAGTAGCCCAGCTTTAAATCCTTACCCCATTTAGAGACAGAGAAGCTTATGGAAAACAAGAGAATTCGATGTAAATTTTTCATAGCCAAAACTTCATTTCTTTTAGTGCTCACRTTTTCATCTGTGTTTCATTGCCTGGCTGATTATCTCTGGAAAGAAAAAAATATAATCAAACTGGTGTTAAAACTTACATTAACTTAAAAAAAAAAAATAACATCATTTGCATGAATGAGGACATGTCCTGCCTTAAAATATCTGTGATTAGAGGTATTGATGAAAAATAGGAGAACCTAAAAGGTGGGCTAAAAGAAAAAAAGAAATTTGTGTTAAAAATGCAAGTCAGAAACTGGTTGATATGTCCTCATTCTGTTTGTAATGGTTAAATATTTAAACTGAGTTTTATTCTTTAAAATTCTCAGATGCAGATCGACATTGTGAACTTGCTGGGAATCCTCTGAAGATAAAAAGCACCAGAAAACCACTGTCGTGTATTATTGGGTATTTAGGTGCGTATCTGCSTCTGGAGAATAAAAAACAAATGAACGTTCACTGTGTATTGAAGCTTCATAATCTGGTATGCMCAGAAAGAGAGGTTTGTGCTTTTAGTAAGAAAAAAACTCTTTAATAGTTAATAAATTAGTAATAATGGTGGTCCACCATCAGYTGCAAAACTGCCTGGTTGAGCTTGCAGGATATAGGCAGAAGTCCTCCTGAAACTGATTTAGAGTGTCAGAGTGAAACCTGATGTAATTTAGAATGTGAAAGATAGTCTGGCTGTCTAAATAAAAAAAAAAAAAACAAAAACAACTGCTCAGAGGGGGGTTACTCAGTTTGCTCAGGGCTGCTCTGCTGTGCTCTTTGAAATAGTGTTTGCAATGCTRCTTTTTATTTAAAAGAAGGGGACCTCAGCCACACCAAGACACATATCTTGTAACTTGATGGTCTAAGTTTAAAAGGTGAAATGAAATATGTGCTGAGTTCACAGCCAAGTGGACAGTGATCCTATAAATTAATGGGGAGAGGAAAAAACCTAGTAATAATGATTATAAGGAACCATCACTGGCTATTAAATATTTGCACAGTCATGTAAGAATTATGGTAACCCAGAGGCTGTTAATCGTTAAATGAATATAGAAATCAGTCCATTGATCAGAGTAGCAGTGAATAATTCTGCTGTGCATTAATCTTCTTGTACAGAAGTGAAGCTGAGGATAGGTCTCAGTCTAGATGTTTTGCTCATAATTGCAGTCACAAGGAGGTTTTTTATACTAGATCAAAGTAAACAGTAACAGTCTTTTGCCTGACTGAAATGGAAGTCAGCTATTCATGTAGTTACAACTGTTCTTCCAAAATATTACCTTTTAGAATGTGGATAATGAAGCATCAATACGATTCTCACTGAATTTTGATTCTGCCTTCCCTGGTGTTTAAGAAAAGAGCCAGTGATAATTTCCTACAGACATCCCAGCTGTGTGAGGTGTGTTGAAAGGACTACTTTGGTTGACTTGGTGGAGTTTGGGTTGTAAGGGAGGAAGCTGGACAGGGAATGGTTCATTCCATCCAGCTGACCTGTCTGTGCATCAAAAGAGGAAATGGTAACGTGGGTAAAGTCAGAAGACACTGCAGGTTTTTAGTGCTGTTTTGTGTAGTCATTGAGGGGTCATCTTGATCCTTCTGGGAGTGTAAGTCTGTAGGTTTAATGGGAGTAGATAGATGAGCAGTGTCAGCATTTTGTGTACTTGCATGAAGGTGTGGTAGAAGATTGACAGTGCTAAAATATGCCAGGTATCTGTAGAGTCTGCTTGGTGTTTGCATGGGAAGTGAAGGTATCTCACTACAGCTGGAGGAAAATAATATGTATTATGGGGWTATGAAATGTACCTAGTGTAGATGAATACATGAATTAGTTTAGTAGGGATGGCTAGGAAATGGCTTTTCATTTGCAATGTAGCTTGGTGGGATTRTTTTAGTTTAGTGTGTTTGTGATCTTTTTTCTTTATTTGGGATTTTTGCATGTTACAGCAAATAAGTAAATCTTGTGTTATTTTTCTCATAAAAAATTTGCATTAAATATTATGTCATAGCTTGTGCAGGAGGCATTTGTTTTCTTTTTGAAGTTCCTCCTGTGCCATTCTCACAGCTATTCATTGGCATACAATTAACAGTGTGTCTCAGGGCACTACTGTTTTCAGCCAGGGAGGATTTCAGTGCCCTGCACATCCTGGGTCATCAGTTCCCTTTATCCCTGTTCTGTATCTTGCCTGCAGGTTCCACTGATGAGGTACAAGCATCAAAATTAGGCCCTATCCTCTCAGGAGAGCTGGGGCTAATCCCCTGTAATTGCACCACTCATCGCTGTGTCCCCTAAAACAGAGCCCCTAAGGTGAMCCCCTGGCTAATTAAATGTCCTATGTTACCCCAAGTTAGGAGGAAAACAGGCTGACACTTCAGCTGRGATACATGTTGAGGGGATGAGAGGAGAGAAAGGTGCAGCTGCCCAAGCACCTCTGGAATCCAGGATGTTTACTGAGGTGATTCAGTAGAAGACTTCAGCTTCTCTTTGTTTACTTTGCTTTTTTTTGTTTTTTCACCCTACTCACGTAGTGGAAAAGGGAGAAATTTTCTTACTCCTGTTTTATTTTTATTTCAGAATGTGGCAGACTAGTTGTTATGTGGGTAAAGGGATAATTTGGATGCTATAGTCAGTTCTCTGAATTAGCACAAGGTGGAGGTGGCTAGAAGATTTTCAGTGGGGTGCTAGGCAATAGGTTAAGGATAAGAGCAGGAGGAATGAAAAGATTTTAATTATTATGACTCCATCATACAAAAACATTAAGGATGATCAGCAAAACCCCTGAAATGTCTTGTTACTCTGCTCAGGTGTGATGAGGCAGCTGGTCAGAGAGTGTTGATGTAAAGCATGAAAGTATTTGAAGCCATTCTATATGGAGAGGAGGAGTGAAGTAGGATGTAAAGGCAGGAAGGACTCAGTCCATTGGGAAGTGGTTCTGGCTTTTAATTAAGTTCCTCTCTGGAACTTAAATGTACAGCTTGGTCTTGGTACCTTTCTCTAAAGCAGAAAGAGAAAAAGACAGCCTTTGTGGTAAACTAATGGAGGATTAGTGACTTCTGARCTGAAGACAAGTTGAAGGAAGTTGCTTCTTTCCTCAACTGTTTGCTCACCTTGAAAATATAAAATTGCATCTCCTGTAGGCTGTAGATGGAARGGGTTTATGAGTTTTATATGTTGATGAAGCTGCTGGGATTATTGTGGTTGCTACTGGASCTCTTTGGCAAATAAAATAATACTTTATTGTTGTTAGCCCTTTTCCTTCAGAAAATTGGAAAAGATTGCTAAAAGAACATTTTAGAATGCAAATTCCAATTACCTTCAGTAAACAGTGCAAGTGTTTCCATTTCAGTTTAAAATTTTGCCTTAGCAATCAGTGATGTTCATTACATTAAGCATGCTGCTGTTCCCATTTTAGTAAAAAGCAAAATACAAGATGCTTGTTCCCTACAGCAAGAAAAACAGGACATGCTATGAAATCTTTTCTGTATGAGCAGCAGATGAACATGACAGTGAACGGCAGCAAAAAGCTCTCACCTAATTAAGTGGTGGGAARTTTGGTGACATCAAACCTTCAGGTGTGCCCTGAGGTGATCAGTTACCTGTGCCTACCCTCTSTGCTGTTCTAATATTTGCCATTATTTCTCTGCTTTACTGTTTCTCACCTGGCCCTCTTGAAGCCTCTTCTATGTGGGTGTTCATGCTTGGAGGGTGTGATTGCAAACCCCAACTGAACTAATGGTGAACAATTGAGAAAAGTATTTTCCAACATGAAAATTGTTGGCGTTGTCGCCTCCTTTTATGCTATCCCAGTACAGCCTGGCCAAGGCTGTGAGACTAASAGCATTCCTGAAGGTGAAAAAGCATGCCATTGCAATGGGCTTTGACTTGATAAAATGGTTTCTCTTTCTCCATGGATGGCAGAGGCTGGAGAGGCTCCTCCTTGGAYACCTGGCCTCACTGTAGATTTTGCATCTTCCCAGCTTCTGTGCCCTGTTTTATAAACAGAAAAGCAGAAAGCAGCACTTTTCAGGAGGCTTAAACCTGGGCTGCTGATGGGAAAATACTTAAATTTTGTTTTCTGCTCTCACTTGCCTTGGGCAGCTGACTCTGCTGCTCTGATTCCCAGACCTCTGCCCTCAGCCTCTTGTGCTGCCCAGGGTCTTTGGGGGCTGTCATGGGCTGCCAGTGCCCCATCACCTGCACGGTGCTGGCAGCTGGTGCCCTGTGGCTGTGACACAGCTCGGGACTGCCCTCGGCCACCTGGCTTCCCACACAAGGCTGGACACAGTGGTGGCATTTTGAACCCAAATGTCTCCTGGGGATTAATTAATTGGTACAGCAAATTCCTGGTGAGGGACCAGCAGACTCAACCAAACCTTTTGCCACTTTTATCTGGCAGATARCACAGAAATTCCCATGGAGCTGTATCAGCTCCTGGCAAACACAGCAGCTGCCACTCTGAAATGTGCTGGCCAGATGCACTTCACTGCCTCTTACCCTCTTTATTCCTCCTTCTCCAAAGTAATCTTTCTCTTTGAAACAGACACTCTGGGACATTTGAAGCTCTCCAGTAAGGACTGTATGGGAGTATTCCCCCTTCAGTTTTGGGATAGTTTTAGCTGCAGTGTATGGCCCCCTGACTCCTGCACCTTGTGACTTAGTGTGGGAAGGTCCCTTAAAGCTTGTTATTGTGACAAAATTCTGAATAGCTTGAGGTGTTGAGGTGGTTTCACTATAGTAAAATGCTTTTCTTTGCATGCTAAAACCTGTGGGTGTGTAGCTTGAATAAAAACCTCAGAAGGGTAGGAAAATATAAACCCACCCATTCCAGATTGTTTTGTATTTATTAGCTCTTCAAATCCTTACATAGCTACACTATGGTGTTGAACTTGAGTGATCTGAAGTGAAATAGATTTTTCTTATTTGGAGGACCTGTGGGTGTGAGGACTTGTCTTTGAAGTATTGTTCAAAATCCTGTAAACACTTCCTTTCCTTTCACTGAATATCAAAAGTAAATGTTGTATGTGGAATAGACTGTATTTAAAGTCAAGTATGTATAATTTCTCTGTCTCTTTTTCCTTTTGTCTCAAACAGAGGTRCATCCTGCGGTAAAACCCAATGTAATCAGGTCAACACCAAGCCTTCAAAGTCCAAGTGCAAAACGACTGCTTGCACCCTCCAATCACTCTTCCCTAAGCATCTTGGGAAAAAGAAACTACAGCCATCACAATGGGTTTGATGGTATGTGAAGGAATAGAAAGGAAATATTTTTTAAGTCTCTGAATTGCAAAACTTTCTGTGAACCTGAGGTGATACTAAATGAGAGGGTACAGWCTTGGAAAAATGTAAGATATGGATGGCATGTTTATAGCATCAGTGCAGTGAATGGTGGTGCTTACTCACTGAATAAGAATATATTAATGCCAAAAAMCAGCTCTTACAAAACCTCCATTTWTAATTTTTKCTTACTGACCTTGATTTAAAGGAAAAAGGACAAGAAAAGAATAAAACAAATTTCTTAAAGGCAGAGATRCAGCATGTTTTATTTTGGCTTTTTGCATTGCACCTTAGAAAGCCCCTGTCCCAGCATCCCATTTACAGTGGAGGAAGAAAAAGCTGTGTCAGAGGTGTGGGAGAGGCTTTTTCTGTGCACTGTGCAGTGCCAGAGGTGATGCTTTAGACCTGGTGTATCCAGTCACTTCATTTCACCTCAGTGCAAACTGAGAGTTGGAATGAAGCTATGCAAAAAAACCCCAAAACCAACAACAAAAAAGGATAGAAATATGTGGGTAAGGCCAACTTTTCTCAAATAATCTCATTTTTTCATCCTAAAAAATGACAGTGCATTATTTTTGATTTTTTTTTATCATTATGAAACAGAAAGATTTTTCTACTGTAACTGTAAAGTTTTACCTCACGTTCAAATTAGAGGATATAATATTTGCACTAAAAAAAAAAACAAAACATGCATGCATTCCTGATATCTCTTAGTGAGGTGTAACTTCTGTATGCCATTATCTTATTTGCTCTGTAATTGCRTAAGGTTACTGCGGGTAGAAATCTGTCAGACGCTGGGCTCTCAAATAGACTGTTCAGGAGATGATGTGCACAAAAGAGGTGTCTGTCTGCTTTCATGCTTCATAGAATAGGTCAAGGTAGAAAGAAGATGACTTTGCTTTCAGACAAGCAAATAGAGTATTCCAAATAAAGGGAGAAAAATTTGATTCATTATCCATCATCGTAATCTCCACCATAATCATGTTTTTCTGGCATTGCAAACACTACTTGTGTACTGCAGTGAAAACACCTACTGCACGTTTAATGACACATTTAATAACATAGGAATCATGGCACACTTTGATAAGAAGTGGTTATTTAGAATGCACAGAAGAGGGAATTGCTTGCTCCTCTGCTCAGCGTGCAGCTGTTACACCATAGACAAACAACTCGTGTGGCACCACAGGCTGCTCGGGGCACCAAGGTGACAACCATGGCAACTGCAGCAAGAAGAAAACATGGTAACATCATTAGGCAGAGCCTTAAATGCTAAATTTCCACTGCAACCTCTGAGGGTGAAGTTCTGCAGGGATGGTCCCCCCTCCAGCAGTGCTGGCTGTTGGGCTGGGCTCTCCGTGTGAGCTTGGAGTGATGAATTACTTTCCCCTGGACACAAAGATGATCACAGAATCCTTTCCATGGGAAAAGAAGCAAAGACCATCAACTCCAAACCTAGTTCTGCACTGCTAAGTCCACCACTAAACACTACATGCCACAACTTCTAAATCCCTCCAGGGATGGTGACCCAACCTCTTCCCTAAGCAGTTTGTTCCAGTGCTTGACAACCCTTTCAGTGAAGTAGTTTTCCCTAATATCCAACCCAAACCTTCCCTGGCATCATTTGAAGCTGTTTCCTCTTGTCCTATCACATTTTATCTTTGAGAAGAGACTGACCCCACCTCACTACAACCTGCACATTTCTCCTGCAGAGAAGGCTGTAGCAATAAGTTCAGGGTAATTACTCTGATTAAGCCCCTCCTTATGTCCCTTTAGGAAGGCATACTTGGAAGTCTGTAAAATTTGTCTTTACTTAATATGGATGTTCTCTTCAAAGTGAAGCGTGTGTAAAACCAGTCATTAGCTACACTGATTAGTTCGTATCAAACAGTCAGCTGCGTTAAGGCAATTTGCACCAAATAACATCTAATTTGAAAAATTAGTATTGAGAACTTCAAGTTGTTGCTTTAGGAGATATTTCTGCTTATCTGTTTTCCATGAAAACAACTTACTGGAAAGCATGTATCCTAAATAAGTGAAATCTGTATCTTTTTAGTGCAAAAATCTGAATGTTAAAAATGGCTATTTTGGTTATTATTCTTGCCCCTCCCTTTGATTAAAATGTGGAAAAGTGTAAATAAAAAGAAATGAAAAAGTAACAAACCAATAGTAATAATACTCAACAACACAGATCCTCTTTTCCTTCTGACTTAAAAATTATTACCTTCAATATTTACCATTTACCTTTTCCTCAGGTTATTTGTAAATATAATTTTTTTTTTTTTGCTTGTGTTTTATCCAGCTTCTCTTCAGTACCAGATCAGCTTGGGGAATGGTGGTTTCTGTGTCATTGCCCTGACCACAGTGTACTGTTTGTRCAGTGAAAGGTTTTGCCAGCCCTCAGAGTTTTTGTATTACTATAAATATACTAAACAGCTTTTTTGGTTCCAAAACACTATCGATTGCTGCAGGGTTTATTGCCTGGTACCAATTAACAGTACCCAGAAAGCCTGCTATGGAGATGATCACAGATTCTGCCTTTCAGTGCATGCTTTGATGAAAATGAGCAAACAAAAAGGAGCATGGGGTACTTATATTACATCTTATTTCTTGCTATTTTCATAATCTTAGTGTTTATTGACATCAAAATGTCTGCACTTTCAAGTTTAGGTTTTTTGCCAACAGTATTAGAAATTTGTTGTGAGAAATCCACATAAATATGTTTACTGAAGATATACAATATTTCACAGCATTCAAGTAAATGTTGCTTAGGCTTCTGCAAATATATATTTAGATTAGTATAATTTAAGTCAATCTTACTGCCTAGATGAGTGCCTTATTTTGACAGAATTTGTTTTTAAGCGAATTAATAATTATTTGCTTCAAATATAGCAGTGCATTATGGAAATGGCACCTTTTTATGCCTCTGTGGGGAAATGGGGAAAGATTATGAGAAACATCATTAATATTTAGTTAAATGCTTTTAAGAATAATAAACAAGAATATGATTAGCATTTTTGTACAAGTCTTATGTTGGCATGAATTTTGCTTTCTGCCAATGCAGCACAAGATTCCCTTTCAATTTTCCATGGATGCACCTCCAGAAAGGCCCTGGTGYAATTGATAGGGGTGAGTTGATAGGAATTTGGCATTTTTGACTTCTTTTGCTCAATCATTGTCGAGAATGATGAGGGATCTCATTTATCTCTTCATAAATGAGGATGCTGTGCCCTCATATCTTGTGATTGAGTGTCAGTCTTGGGTGTAGTGCATGGACATGAGTGAAATGGCACGGCTTAAGCATCTGTGTATTGTGGCTAGACAGAGAAAGGATCTTCTAGATTTTTGTGTCCCTTATTGTAGGAGGAAGACTTTTCTGGATGTTTTTGGAAAGTGTTTTTCATTTTATTTTCAAACAACAGCAAACTTTGCATTCTGTGAGATATAGTGAAAAATGCCAGTCTGCTGGTATTTTGCTGTTTTGGAAAAAAAAAGAAAACCACTACTTTGAGAAATTTTTGTGTGATATACATCCTGGAGCTTTTAACTACTCTGAGATGCGGCATTTCARCTGCTACTGAAATTAAAGTCAGCATATGATACTTGAGTGGTGCTCTGCAGTGAAGATAGCCTCTTTCAAGTGGGAAAATTCCATCTTCAGAGAATCACGATGTTGCAGAAGGTTAAGTGTATCCAATTTTGTGACTGGAGTTGATGGGAAGATTTAGGTGTGACTGTAAAGTGCTTTAGATATTTTGAATCTGATCTTTAAATTACAGCATGGGAAATTATTCCAAGCAATTACCTTCTCCCACAAGCTGCTTAACTGTGCAATGTGTCCAAGTACTCAAGTTTCATGTCAGCCTATTGTTTTGGCAGGGTGAATAATGATAATTTYGCTTCTAGTATTTGGAAACACCAGGTAGTGGTATTTTACACAAGAACAGCCTCTGCCATCTGGCATGCATTTCCTTACCTGTCGTGCATCAGAACCAGAATATCCACAGGATGTCCAAGGCATCAGCGTCACTAATGAGGYGCAGAAATCAGTCTGTGCCTGTGTTGATAGTATTTTCTTGAGTTGTGGGCAAAAATAAAAGAACCAATTTTTCGTAGCTGAAGAGACYCAAATCAACAGCCCTGATCCTCCTCTTCCCTTCCCTGCCCATACCTTTAGTGCTGCATTTCAGGCTGAGATGTCCTGGTGCCTTCAAGAGGATTCTTTCAACAGATTTCTTTTCTGGAATATAATGAAGTATGGAGCAGATACATGAAGTAGCTAGGAGTGTGGCAACAATTTTGGGGTCTGTTTTTCAAGGAACCCACACATCTTTGGCCCAGCAGGATGAGAAGGTGACATGGGAAATTGGCAAAGGGAGAAGGAGTTCCAAAACATGTACCTTCTCTCTTAGATGCAGTTTTGGTCAATCCTTTCTAYGTTTATAACTGATACTATTGGCTATTCAGGAGAAGGGCAAGAAARAAAGGCTGAGTTTTCAATCTTATTTTTCCTTGTTGAATTTATGACTTCCCTTTGACAAATGGGTGAAAATATAAGCAGCCTAACTGACCAGCAGAGAGACTGAAGCCTTTCCTCTCCCAAATTTTCTTGAAACAGAGAAAACAAGTGTAACACATGCTTCATTATAATCAAATTCACATAACCCTGTGTGCATGTACATTAAAGGGAAGGAGTTTTCTCTGTTGGATGGATTTTTTTCAGCAATGAATGAGATATTTTCTCTCAAAGGTGTCTGTCTGATGGTTGTTATCACGATAYTCTGTTTCAGCAGAGACAGAGATGTTCTGCTGTGCTGGCAGGCGAGCAGTGTGGATTGCACATCCAAAAACATCTGGCACTCTGTTACTTTAAAAAAGAAAACCTTAAATTTTCTTTCACAGCTTAATAAACTTTAAACCTACTGAAATTGTTATAAACCTGGTTTAACATCCCAGAGATTTCCAAC